AAGAATAGGAGAGAAGGAGAGAAGTATAGAGAGAAAAGAAGAAAGAGATAAGGAAATGAAAAAAAAAATAGACAGTTGAAACACACGGTGGAAAGTAAGGAGAAAACATATTTAAAAATTTGATTTGGAAAATATCAATTACAGCTTTCACGAATAAAGGGAGATTAGAGATTTTAAAACATAAATAAGAAACTTTAAAAAAAAAAAAGAAGAAAAAAAAAAGCTTTCTATCACGCGCACTGTGAAGTAGAAAATAAATGACAGTTTCGTTAATGCATTATGCAGAAGTGTAGATGAGCATTCTATGTACCGGGTAGCCAAAGGAAGTTCCGTGCTGAAGTGTATAGAGGATCACTCTATGTAACCAAAGGAAGCTCCGTGCTGAAGTGTAGAGGAACACTCTATGTAACCAAAGGAAGTTCCGTGCTGAAGTGTATAAAGAATCACTCTATGTAACCAAAGGAAGTTCCGCGCTGAAGTGTATAGAGGATCACTCTATGTAACCAAAGGAAGTTCCGTGCTGAAGTGTATAAAGGATCACTCTATGTAACCAAAGGAAGTTCCGCGCTGAAGTGTATAGAGGAGCACTCTATGTAACCAAAGGAAGTTCCGCGCTGAAGTGTAGAGGATCACTCTATGTAACCAAAGGAAGTTCCGTGCTGAAGTGTAGAGGAACACTCTATGTAACCAAAGGAAGTTCCGTGCTGAAGTGTAGAGGAACACTCTATGTAACCAAAGGAAGTTCCGTGCTGAAGTGTAGAGGATCACTCTATGTAACCAAAGGAAGTTCCGTGCTGAAGTGTAGAGGAACACTCTATGTAACCAAAGGAAGTTCCGTGCCGAAGTGTATAGAGGATCACTCTATGTAACCAAAGGAAGTTCCGTGCTGAAGTGTATAAAGGATCACTCTGTTCGATTTAAATATAGACGAAATGTAAATTAAATGTTTAGCTGTACTCATTTAAAAACTAATTCGCCCAGGCTTTCTTTACTTAACGCATTTCAAGACATTTTCAATCATTGTCCACTTTTGTTAACACGTTTTGACTCGACGTTGATAGAAAGTGTTGGGTTTTTTTTAGTTGTTTTTTTAAGGGTTTTTTATCAATAAATTTATTTTCCCATTTTCGGTATTAAAATTGCAATCATTCAATTATAAACAAGATAGAATAACTTTTTTTTGTTCTTATTAAATCCCGATGAAAGTAACTTAACACTTTTTTACCTAGCCATAAAACTAAAACTAGAATATATCTAAACTCAACACGCTTACAACATTTAACCCCAATGGTTCATACAGGACTATACAAGAATGGATCGCCCAAGACAGACCAACGACACTACAATAACAACAAGGCTTCACTGCCGTACATGCACCGGAAGCGGAAGAGAAGATGATGATTTTTAATTGATAGGGTGCATCCTGGGAACACGTCTGTCGGTCGAGCTCTGGCTACCTCATTTTGACCAGATTAGAGGATATCTGGACTGCACTCTGCTTTCTTGAAACGGACAAATTAAACATGGCGGCGAAAATTGAGGGACATTGGGGGGGGGGGGGCACAAACAGGAAAAGAAATGAAAGGCAGGGGGAAAAAAATATTTTTGTTAAAA